GAGAGAGAGAGAGAGAGAGAGAGAGAGAGAGAGAGAGAGAGAGAGAGAGAGAGAGAGAGAGAGAGAGTTCTACAGAAGGGGAAACTCTGTCATTCTTAGACAACGGTTGTGCATTCTCACACATTCCAGACCCACCACTACTACAACCATACAGATGGCCTTACCAATCGATGGCCTTTGTGAGCAGCACTGTTCAATGTGTCGAAAGAGGTCTTGGAAGTAACCAAACCATTATTCATTACTTAAGGTCGGCGTCAGCCCGAATACTGAACAATGAAGTACATACTGGTCATTGTCATGCACAAGCATAAAAGGAGGCGCACTCACCGGATGATTTCAAACTAACGGTCACTCCTTTCCTTTATCTAAGGTCAAGGTCTTCAATACAGCAACCAAAGAGCCAAGAACCTGACCTTCTGAATGAACGATTCACTGACTTCACTGTTTCCAACCCAGAAGAATTCTGTGACTTCGTGAAGGACAGCCGTATGCAAAAAGCCAACGGAGACGAATGAATGAGTGCAACAATGTTATTGAAAATATTAAAATAATGAATTTGTTTGCATACATCACGAGCGTGGGCTGCTAATTCACTTTCACTCTTCACCAACTTTTCAGGGCCTATAGGAACAGAGGAGACCAGAGCCTGACTACCGACGTGACGCAGGTATTCTAACGGCAATCGTGGCCAAGTGAATGTGTAGGGGCAGAGATGTGGTTGTGGTACATTGGCAGATTGCTGTTGAGGCACATTAGAATCGTAATCAGGTACATTGCTGTTGAGGCTTCCGTTCTGACTTCTAATGGAGATGGTCAGTTTAGGATTATCATGTACGCATTTGGTCAGATTTTCCTTACCACATTCATTGGAGTTAGTTTCTATGCCAGTATGGGATGGGTCCATGAAAGAAAGCAGTGACAGCCAAAGGAACAATTGTCAAAGAGAGGACGGTCGTTAGGCAGAGCAGGACTTCAGTAGTCCAATACCGAGTGAATAATTGGCACAAGGTACAAAACAGAGAAGCGAAGAGAGAGGTGGAAGAGGTGTTCAAAATGATTTAAAATAGATAAATCATCATACAGATATACATTGGACACTGGATGATACAGATGCAAGGGAAAAGGGGAAAAAAAACTAGATAATGCTGCAAGTGCAGCCATCGACTAGAAAATTCAAAGTTAAAAAAGCAGTTGGGAAAAAGGAGCCCAATACAAGTAAGAAAACCACCGGTTGATCCGCTGAAGGTCACTGGCCCATTGGCAGGATATTATTCAGAAAAAAACACGCATAATAAATGCACTGCAGATATTACATGAAGCGTTTGTGATTGCTATTTTCTGTTTAGAATAGTCTGTGTAGGATGTTTAGGCTTGCAGCTCTGCAGTGTCTATATCGGCATGGTTAGAAGGTATATCCATTAGTTTTGCTATACAAATAATTCTTTCTAATACGTTTGGATACAACCATGCAAGCCATTCAGATCAGCTTTGAGAAAGGAGGCTGTTGGGATGACAGTGTGCATACAGTCATACGTCAGACAGTCATTCGTCAGACAGTCAGGCAGTCAGGCAGTCAGGCAGTCCGACAGTCCGACAGTCAGACAGCCCGACAGTCAGACAGCCCGACAGTCAGACAATCAGATAGTCATAGAGCTGGAAAGTCAGACAGTGAAACAAAATCAGCCTACTCTGACATCAGATAGGTCATACGTCACAAAGTCAGACAGTCCGACACGACAGCTGACAGTCAGACAATCAGATAGTAGTCAGACAGTCCGACAGTCCGACAGCCGACAGTCAGACAATCAGATAGTCATAGAGCTAGAAGGTCAGACATTGAAACAAAATGGGCCTACTCTGATATCAGATAGGTCTAAACGTGGTGCCATATTCAACGTATGCATACCAGGCAGTTTGGAAGCACCATCATGACCGCCCTCGCAAGACACATGCCCATCACGGCATTCGTTTCGCATGGAAGAAGGATGACACAGACGAAAGCGGGGATACATCGGACACTTGATCAGAGAGAAGAAGGAAATGCCGCGTCAGTCTAACTGAAAGCTGTCAAGGTTTGTACAAAAAACTAAAGTCAGTCACTCTGACATCCGATAGGCCAACACATTTTACGAGGATGGTACCAGATAACGTTTGCAGATGTCAAACAGTCATAGAATAAAACAGAGTCGGCAGTCTCTGCTGACTCTGCACGATCCTACTGTTGTTCCCCAACCGATAGGGCTCTGGTAAGGCTTACAAATCAGATTCTCTCTCTCTCTCTCTCTCCCTCTCTCTTTGGAAACAAGCCCTCTCTCTCTCTCACAGTCATCCTCCCCTCGCACATATGAGTTTGCTGCCACGCCTGCTGTTCTTCTTCGCTGACATGGCCATCACATTGACAAGTATTGACTCGTATGTGATAAGGATCTCTCAACGTACAGAAGTCTATCCACATCATAAATGGTTCTAACGTCAGACCGGGTTAGAAAGGAGGTCAAGCAATGGGACGAGCTGGGAAGACTGGAGGCATATGGGTAGCGCAATGATGAATAAGAATCTATTAACAGGCTAGATTCTGATAGGTTCTGGAATTCAGATGCTGTTCTCCAACAACAGCATTTGGTAACATTTTTAGAAACCGATACGGCTCTGGCAACAGATAAGGTCACAAAAGTCTCGCTTAAACGGATAAGGCTCTGTGTGACACTGTTGTTGCTCTGCTCAGCAGATAAGGTTATGATTCAAGAATGTCAGTGATACTGACATTTTAGGCTCTGTGTTACACTGCTGTTGCTCTGCTCAGTTGGCTGGCTGAAACAGTGGCAACGCCACTGCAGTCAAAGAATTCTACTTTCGTTCTTGGGACACGTATGTTGCTGACCTGATGTGTGCCAAAACAGTAACCACCTGGCAGACATTTGGCAAAAGAGTAATTGCCGGCTCAAACCTTCACAACGCCCTGCTTTGCAGTAATGGCCATCAGAGCACGTCCAGAATGGAAACATGAAGAGAATGCATTTGGAGGCTACCCGGGTTTGACTGTGTTCACACACTAACTTATACAAATACAACACGACTGATACCACCTACCATATCTGGTTCTCAGCCTCTGATTCTCTGTGTTGCTGGCCGCACAGCTTGTCTCGAGGCCCCCGTAGTACACCTATTGCCATCATGGTTTGACTGTGTTCACAACGCCCTGGTACAGTTTGTCCAGAACTGCAAAAATTCTGTATGTTGCTCCTGGTCCAGAGCTGCAAACTGCAACTGGCACAGAACTTTTTCTGGAACCACCAGTGGAATCTGGCACAGTACTTTGCCGGGAACTGCGTGCTGGAAGTACACTAGTACTTTGTCTGGATGTGCGCGAGGAACTCGAAACGGTTTGCCGGGACCCGCAAGCTGAAAACCGGCCAAAACTTTGTCCCGAAGAGCCGGTTGAGGTTTGGAAAGCTTGTCTGGAGCCGCGAGATGAAACGGGCACAGCATTTTGCCTCGAAGAGCTGGTGGAACTTGCCTTCCTGGCAGGTTTTCGAGTTGGTGCAGGCATAGATCTCTCCAGTAAAGTGATCACTTCATTCAGTTGACTTAGCTGTGTCATGAAAGCTTCAGCTTTCTTCGTTACCTCGTCCGCACTTTGGGTTCCCCTTCTTTGCTGTCGAGATGCAATTCTGCAGACAGACATGTATTCCACGAACTGTCAGTGAGCACTTGTGGAAAAAAAAAAGAGTAAAAATCTAACAAATCCCCTCCCCCTGCAACCGTCCCCAAAAGTCTCCTCCCCCTGCAATCCTGGGGCATATTGTCAGCTCGACCACAGACACACTGTTAGCACACACACATACCCAAACAAAGCATTCTGACACTCACCCAAAACTCTCCCACATATTATCTATTTCCGTTGCATTGTCCAAGTGCAGTACCCTTAAGATGTGCCAAAAAGTCAATGCTGTATTTTTGAAGTGCCCAAAAGTAGCTGCTATGTTTGGGGTGCACGCGTGTAACATTTTCTTGTGTCGACAGACTTTCATCAAAATGACTCCCAGACTCATGATGGCGGTATGAGCCTACTGTACAGTTCTACTTGTGGTGGGAGTACACGATAATCCTCTTCTGTCTATGCTGCGTGTAACAGTTGCCTTATCCGTGCTCCATGGCACCTTGGAGCTGCCATTTGCCCGCCTGCTTGCTTGTCTTGCCCTGCTGTCCATCGGCCTAATAGTTTGCCTTCTAGATTGCTTGCCTCACTGGCACTCCGCCTGCTCGTAGATCGCTTTGTCTTCATGCCAGTTAACCCAGCCCCCATGTGCCCACTGTTCGCTTTACTGGTGCTTGCTTGCCTTGCCACTTCGTATTGCAACCTGCCAGCCGTCCCCTTGCAACGGCGGGCGAAACAGACTGAGTGTGACCCAAAACATCAATGTGGGGATCCTACAGACTGTCTAGGGTTGGTCAGTGTGTGCCAAGTCTGTCACATGCTTGCTCTTCATTTCCTGTTGTGCATTCCGTCCTGTTCGAAAACCTTTCATAAAGCTCTTTGTTTCAGATTGGTCTCTTTATGATGCTATTGCAGATGGGTATGTTCCCATGCAGACCATTGTACTACGAGTGCAGAGGTCTGGTAGCATTGCATACCCGCCAGAGTTGGCAACGGTTTTTTTTAGGAATACCTGTACCCAACCTAACGGCACCCCCTTTGAAAACCAACCACTCGTACCCACTGTACACCTGGCTTACCGGACCGTTACCCATCTCTACCTGCTCCAAAGGAAAAAGACATGTACCCATACCTGCCCTAACTGAACCTCTTCGGACTGTACCTGCCCATACCTGCCAATGGACTTTTTTCTTTGAAAACCACCAATGGCCACATGAACCCAAACTGTTAGTTATCCAACCATACCCTACGCAGCCCAGGTATACCCACCCACAATTGCATGCACCCACCCGTAACCGTCCGCACCCGTCTCCTCAGTCCTGCCACGCCTGCTGCAGCTGCCGATCACACATGCAACGCCCTCCTGCCGATCACACCTGCCACGCCAGCCATGGAAGCCATGGAGGATGGACAATTACGAGTGGCCAGGAGGACGCCGGGTGGGGATGTGAACGACGGGTGGAGACTCCCGGGACTAGCGGGAACAGGGAACGGAAAGGGGCAGGAGGCAATGGGCCTCGCTCTACTGCTCACAAAATGTTGAAATTGGGAATGAATCTGCCGCTGGAACATGGGAAGATACACCGTCTTTTTATTTTCTTCTTTGCATTTCGTGAGTAGTGGAGCGAGGCCCGCTCGAAAGGCCCAACTCGAAGTTGGGGAACTTTCAGACTTTCAACAACACAGCAATGCGGCGGTGGGGATAACAAAAATAAATAATGGCTGTTTGGGACTTTCCACGAGGCAGGAGGGTGGAGGGAGGGAGGTGTCTGGGTTGGGGGGTTGGAATGGGTAGGTACCAGGTATTCCACGGTTCCCGCCCTAACAACCGCCACTATTATTTTTGTCTGCCCATACCCAACTCCCCCTTCGGAAGGTGTACCCAGCCCCATAAGGGCAATTGTGCCCGCCCTAACAACAGCCACTATGTTCTTTGTCTGCCCATACCCAACTCCCCCTTCGGAAGGTGTAACCAGCCCCACCCAACCTGGCGGTTACAGTTGGGTAAGGTTGGGTACGGGCAACTGTTACCCGTTTGCCCTCCCTGATAACCACCCCTCCCCCCCCCATCCACACCCACACCCACATTGTGTGTTGTTCCCATTCTCATTTCTGTCATAGTCATCTTCCTTCTCATCCTTCTCCTCATCTTGGCATTGTTGTTGTTGACACCATTTACGTGCTGCGCACTCCATCCATCCTTGGCACCGACCGCCGACGAACTCCGTTTCCCATGCTGTGACTTTTTAAAAATCAATTAACCACCGTCCGAGAACCTAAATTGTTGAACCTCTTTCGCCTGAGGATTGAGATAGCCAAATCGAGGGCAGTAACGGAAAAGGTGAAACCGTGGCAGCCACGACAACGAACTACAGCTGCCAACTAAAGATTTGAAATCGCAATCCAACGCTTCACGTTGGCAGCTGCAGTTTTTTTCTGCCACTGCCATGCCACTAGCAGACTGCACTAGGGCCTCATATACCGATGAGAAAAATGGGGTTCGTTGGAGGCAGTGGTGGTGTACATACCAACTGCTTCTGTGCCAACCACGTTTCTCCACCCATCTGAAAATGTGAGGATGAACTTAATTACCATTCAGGTTGTTTCTTCATTACATGCAGCACTGGCACTAGAATCATTCCTTCGTGTTAAAGACGGCGTGTTTTGCTTATTGTGGCATTTTCGTTTTTCAGGGAAGGACAGAAAGAGCGCCCGTATGTGTACAGAAATCACATGTGCGCAATAAGAATGCACTTGGTTGTCTGCACCTCCAGGAGTAACAGAAAAAGCCCGTGTTTGTGTACGGAGACGAAAAGTGCGCAGGGAGTCTAAACCTCCTGGTTCAAAAGATGCACTTCCACATCTGCACATCCAGGTCCATTCCAACCGGACTACCTTGCACTTTTCCCTTCGTATCTTTTCAGTCATCTCTCCAAATGCCTCTCCAGTCAACGCTCTCACTCACCTTTCATGCTTGCTCTGGAAGGAGAAGGTCTAATGGGCGTAGAGACGAGGTGGAGAAAGCGATGGTGAGAGAGAGGGTAGAGAGAAAGACCGGAGAAGAGAAGTAGAGAATGAGGGATTCATACCTCTGCTCCATATCAACTTTACGCTTGATGAGTGATGATACACCTGCCAAACCCTTCCACACACCAGTCATGGCAGCAATCTCCTCTGAGCGCTTTGAGTCTGCACACAGGGCCTTGAAGACCTTGAGAGCTAGCAGAAAGATATCGCTGTGTTCATTGAATGTCTGAATTTGCTCAAGCTGCATAGACCACATAATAGGTTCAAAAGAGCGAAAAGCATGCCAAGGCCACACCAAAGAGAAGGCGAAAGTCAGTATGCTAAACTCACTGAAAAGGCCAGTGCACCCCACTCACCTTGACACAAACCAAAGCACTAGAGAGCAGGTCAGAGTAACTGCAACCATCTCACACAATTCAACCCTACAGTTCTTTTTTCAATTTGCTTTAAGAAACACAAGGTGTGTGTGTGTGTGTGTGTGTGTGTGTGTGTGTGTGTATGTGTGTGTGTGTGTGTGTGTGTGTGTGTGTGTGTGTGTGTGTGTGTGTGTGT